AATCTAAACAAAGTCATCAATCAGTGAGTATTATGACAAGCAAAACAAAACATCAAGACGCGGAAAAGAGGTCAGCACAAAACTAATAGGTCAAAAGACAAAGCTGTCTCGCACTACCTAGGAAAACTTGCGAATGTTCGAAGTACAGGTACCCATTGGACAAAAGATACATGGAAGTTTAGCAAACGATCTCCCCGACCCAGTGCAATGTATCCGGTTAGAATCAAAGCTCACGTGTCCCTTATTTGAGGCTGTGAGGCTGCTTGTTTCTCTGTTGGTGTATCAATACTGTTCATTTGAAAACTGCATGAGTTATGAGTAATTGTAAACATTTAACTGTAGTCATCAATTTGATATCTTTCATATAAACATTTGTTAGATTACCGGTAGTAAGTTCACTGAGAATTTAATTTTGCAAATTATTTTTTGATGTTGAGAAAAGTGAAAAATATAAAATGAAAACGCAGTTTCCTGTGATAAATAAGTTTGTCTAATTCTAATAAAATTTCATGATTTATTAATATTTATGTTGAGCAATGGAAAAATATTGTAATACATATCTCTATGGAAAAAACTTGTGTACACGAATACAAGTGTACAAAATAAACCAAATCCATAATTGGATAATCGATTGTTGATAATGTAATTACAGGTAAAACTCATCGAAGGTTTCCAAGACTACGTAATGAAAGGTTACAAGTTTCAAGAATCAAAGGTCAGATTGTGTATGACATTTATTTTTTTAGTGCTACTATCGCATAAAACTCAATGAATCTGTATCTTGCTTACACTTATGTGTAGGGGTTTTAGTTTAGATTGGTGTAGTGCCTGATTTTCCATTTTCTTTATTGCTGTTTGAAAGTTGCACATTTGACTTAATTCATGTAATGGTTTTTGGACTATTGTAAAAAATATTCAATAGAATATTCACAATTATGCAAGTTGCGCATTTTTAGCTCCGCTGTCGACTTTGTCGAGCGGAGCTTATCATATGAGTGATTGTCCGTCGCAGTCGTCCGTGTCAATGTTTTACTTTTTCAACTTCTTCTTGAAAATTACAAGGCTGAATGCTTTGATACTTGGTGTATAGGTACCTTGGGTAGACCTCTCTCAGATTTGTTCATTTCATGATGATATCTTCAATTCTCTAATTTTGGTGAATACTGTAAAATCTGTATTAGAAGCCGCGGCTTCTATTAAAATGGTACAATGCAACAGAGGGGATGCGGCTTCTATTAGAGCATCTACACATATGAGAAATGATGAATTTTTGGTTCTCAATTATTCAAATAGAATGGATGCGACTTCTATTAGGGATGCGGCTTCTAATACAGATTTTACGGTATTTTTGTCATTTTTGGTAAAAAGTGATATTTTCGACTTCTTCTTAAACACCGTAAGTCCAATTGCTTTGATATTACATATATGGGTACTACATGTGGATCTCTCTCAGATTTGTTCATTTTGTGATGATATCTTTAATTCTCTAATTTTGGTGAATATTTTTGTAATTTTTGGTAAAAAGTGATATTTTCGACTTCTCTTTGAAAACTGCAAGTCTGTTTGCTTTTATATTACATATATAGGTACTACATGTGGAATCTTCGTGGTGATATCTTCAATTATCTAATTTTGATGATTATTTATGGTGAAAAGTGATATTTTTGAATTCTTGTTGAAAACAGCAAGTCCTGTTGCTTTGATACTATACATATTGTTCATTTTCTAATGATATCTTCTGTTCTTTAATTGCAATGTGCATTGCTAACAGCGGAGCTATCTCAGCCGATAGGCTGCTTGTTTTTAATTAGTTCTGGAAACATTATCCTAGGTTAAAGCTACTGTTTCTATATTTGATAATTTTAGATTTGTAATGTAATTTTTCTTTTTTTTCAGAGCTTGTTGACAAGACATGGAAAGTTTATAAAGCAACTCCTTTTTTTAACTTCTCTTACAAATCAGAAGGACTGAAAAGATATTCACGACATTTATCTGCTCATTTAGAGGCTGTAAGTAAAATTGTGTTTATACAATAGTAGACTCATAATAACAGACTTTATGATGTCATTTTATGTATGAAGTATTGTTATTGGCAGACTTGACCTGATATTTTCAGTATATCAGTTCATGTTCAGTTTATTGAAGTGCCACAGTTGTAGGTCGCTTACAATGCACATGTATAGAACATGTTTTAAATACCCCCATGTACAAAAGAATCCTTCTATATTGTCTTTATACTTGACATTTAACAAGAGTTTGTCTTTTTCAGGAAAGTAGCAAGAACATAGTTGATGTGGAGGGGGAGTTAGGTGAACATGGAACATTTGAAATCATGAACGGCGTTGCACTCAGTGAAAGTAAGTTATATTCACTACGTTTAATTACCCACCATAGACTCCGGTCAGTCACCCACCATAGACTCCAGTCAGTAAAAATTATTATTTTGAACTGTAGGCATTAATCAGCGATTCTGTCGGTGACGGAGAGATAGAATCTAGGTCTTGGGAAGCCCCATGACCCCAAGATTCTTTTACCCCTTACATCACGAACCCACGTGACTGAGGCCACATGGCAGCGCCATAGGCAGCAGTCAATCACTCTTCTTTTTTCTCCGCCTCATCGGGGAATGATTCTGAGCGACTCTACCTGGCTCTGTTGCTTTTTCCTGTCCTGGTTTCTAGCGTGAGTCGTCGCCGCAGATGCGGAATCCGACATTCTAGCTGGTAGGATCAGTTTTTCTTGTCTTTTTACCCTTGTGTCGTTTTCTCCTTTGTGTGTTATGCTTTTCCACAACAAAGAAATTAAAACCCGACACCACTATGTAACCACATGTTGGTTTCATGGCGGCACCTTGTACAACTGTAATTCGTTTCCCTCATGCATGTCGTCTTTTATTTATAATGTGTTTAGAAATGGATAGATGCACTGGCAACGCCAGGGGCTCACCGCCGGTATTATCTCATCAGTTTATGAGGCGGATCTGCAATCAGTGTACACAGAACTTGCAGGAATGGAACCCGCATACAAAATGCTACCGTTTTATCATGTGCTTTTGGGGTTCGGGTGTCTGCCCAGAGAATATTTGTAATCACTAGGGTTCTGAAGCCTGGGATTCTTTCCAGCAGTATGTCAAAATAGCCGAGACTGACCGCATTGCTCTCTTGCGAAAAGGGTGCGCGGCAAGTAGTACCGGCATGAGTATGAGTGAGTTGTGCATTGGCATGAGTGATAAGTCCTCGCACTCGGCTACCAGTTCTCATACCGGGATACCAAGCAAAGGGCCCGATAGTGGGGGTATATTTTGGTTTCCCCCCGCTGATCGGAGGGCATCTGCACAGTCTGTTTTTTCAGGCAGTGGGTTACCCAACTTTCCTGGCAACAGCGAGGCTGTGCCCCTTGAAGTCTTTCCTCCTATGGGGCCCGCGCTTGGTCCGGTTGTGGACCCATCCTCGCACGGCACCAGTTTTGCCGCTGAAATGAGGGCATTGGTCGAAGGACTGTCGGGGCAAATTGTGTCCCTGGCAGGCAGAGTAGACCACCTGAAGGCGGAACGAGCTGTCTCCACTGCGTCCTCTCAGCGGGCAAGTAGGAAGAAACACAGAAAGCACCGTTCGCATCCCAAACACGTCTCTTCCGGGGGAACCCCCCTTTCCCAGCCTTGATTTCTGAGCGTGGGGGTCGGTGCGCAGACGGTGTTGAGGGGCGGTTGTTGGTCAGCCGCGGAGGAGGTAACGCCAAAAGCCCCGGGCTGGGGTAATCTTTTACATAACTCCTTTCGCTGGACTAAACGCTACCCCATTGGGGCAATCTCAGATTTGGACCCCATTTCGTGGGACGAAACCAGAAGACCCCGACTGGACGAACCCCAAGGCTCCTTCCCCAGACCCCGGTACCACAAACTTCTGTTTTGCTAACCGGGTGAAGGGGGACAGCCGCGTTCCATGGTCATTCTCATCGACCCATTCTGAGACTATCCAACATGCCCTGAGGGCAGAGTTGAGACCCATCAATTTTTTAGAATTTGTGGGCGCCACACTGGAGTGCATTCTTGTGCGCACCCAGGACTCTGAGACCTCAGACGCAGAACGCACTCACCTCCTAGACCAGGCTACACAGTTAATGGTAGGGAACCGCACGGCTATGTGCGATATCCTCCAGTGTCATGTGGCTCTCTTGGCCGGGGCTACTACTGTGCAGCGGGACGCGGTTTTAGACGCCCACCCTCTTTGATGGGGAGATAGCGAGTGCAGTCGCAGAGCTTCGGGGTGTAACAAACCAAATGGTCCAAGTCGAATCCGCTAGCCAGTTGGCCGCTGCCAAGGGTAAGCGAAGGGAGCCCCAAGCACAAAAAGCACAATGCCCTAGGACTAGCTCCGCTAAACAGAGTCAGCCAGGAGGCAAGCACTCGTACCCATCGGCGGGAGGGAAGGGTAGCGGCGCCCCCCGGGAAAGAGAGGACCAGGTGGTGGCTCCTCCTCGGGTGGTCAACCCCGGCAGCGGGGTAAGCATGTTTGACGCTTACCTCTGCGACGGGGGGGATGGGCCTGTGTTTGGCAAGAGATCAGGCTACAGCTTAGTAACCCCAGTGATCTCCGGGGAGGCTCACCTCACGGTAGAGGAGAACCCCCCCCTCTTACAACCGCCGAACCCATGGCCACAGATCTCTGTCGCATGTAGATTGCACCGGTACATTTCAGATTGGAGGCAGCAGGTAACCGATCCCTGGACGCTCCAGGTGGTCACATGCGGTTACAGAATACCACTGACATCTCCATCGCCCCTGTCAGTGTCCCTCCCGTTGGGGGCACTGCCAGGGGATCCCCGCAAAGCGGAAGCAATCAGACAGGAAGTAGACAGTTTGCTAAGAAAGGGCGCCATACACAGAATAGTTCAGCTGGCACTAAGTCCGGCTTCTACTCAAATGTATTCGTAGTACCAATTTCTACAGGCGGCTGGCGTCCAGTTCTGGACCTAAGCAGACTAGCGACCATTTTTGTGCTAAAAATCATCAAAATCAAGCATTTCTCGGCTGTTTACAGATGGATTTTGTTCAAACTTGGTATATACATTAGACATTATAGGACCTTGATGCACATCATTTTGTTTTACGATCTGATTCAAAATGACCAGATGGTGGCCTTTTTTGTGCTAAACAATCATCAAATATCAAGCATTTCTGGCATTTATGGATGGATTTCGTTCAAACTTGGTACATATATTAGACATTACAGGTTCCTGATGCACATCATTTATTTTTCAGATTGTGTTCAAAATGGCTGTCTGGCGGCCATTTTGTTTTAATGAATGGGCTTTTAGACCCATATCTCCAACTTGTTTTAACTGATAATATTTTCAAATTTTAAATATTCATTATATATCATGTCATAGATAAACAGATATATTGGTTTGACTATCCTATTCAAAATGGCCGAATGGTGGTCATTTTTGTGCTAAAAAATCATAAAATATCAAGCATTTATGGGTGGATTTCGTTCAAACTTGGTACATACATTACATTACCATTAGGGTTCCTGATGCTCGTCATTTTATTTTTCAGATTGGATTCAAAATGGCTGACTGGTGGCCATTTTGTTTTAATGATTGGGCTTCTAGAGCCATATCTCTTAAATGCTTTGACTGATTATACTCAAATTTAATATATTCGTTATACATCATGTTATATATACATGTATTCAAAATGGCTGATTTTGAATGCTGTTCCAGAGCAATTTCTCTCAATATGGACAAGTACTTGTTTGACGAGTAGATACAAATGTCAATCATTTTAATGTTAAAAAATCATATTCCTGACATGGTTATATTCCAGCTATATTACTATAAACAAAAGTATATATCTTAAATTTGATAACTAACGAGGACTGTGCCATGCATGGCTTGTTTTTCTGTTTGCTCAGAAAAACCCGCCACCTATCGGCGTCTGACTCTGCCTACAGTTCAAAATAGTCATTTTGTCTGACCAGAGTCTATGGTGGCTAATTGAACGTAGTGAATTTAGGCGAGGGTCCTCCGAACCCGCCTATTCCACCCCACTTATTCCGTCGCGTTGGTCTAAGTCGTCGAGGCGGAGAGAAAGGAACCGGAGTGATTGACGGCTGCCTATGGCGCTGCCATGTGGCCTCAGTCACGTGGGTTCGTGACGTTAGGGGTAAAAGAATCTTGGGGGTCATGGGGCTTCCCCTGACCTAGATTCTATCTCTCCGTCACCGGCAGAATCTCTGATTAATGCCTACAGTTCAAAATAGTCATTTTGACTGACTGGAGTCTATGGTGGGTATGAACTATGTGAATATTGCCATCTGCAGCAATTTGATGCCAAACACATTTGTCATGTGTGTGTATTGGAATATTTGTGAGATTTGCTTCCTGTGTTGGCAGCACCTATTAACTGTACAGCCAGTGTATAGTCATATGTGTGTGGCTCTTCTCAGTTTGGATTCAAAGTTCTTGGAAGACTCAAGACCTTTTACAGCATGAACATTTGCTGAGAGGTGCCACTTTGACCAGAAAGAATCGCAGCTTGATCACACCTTATAGATTGACACCTTACCTCTAAAAAAGATGATAATTGCTCACAAACTTACAGTTTTCTATCGGTATAAACATGTTTCTCTCTTGAACTAAATCCTGCAATCATTCTGACTCGTTTTCAACAAGATAAATTCAACAGTTATTTTACATGGTAATGGTAAAATTTTGTTTTTACATGTACTTGCATGCATCATGTGCAGAGCTGATTTAGCTTTTCTAAATACTCATTATTACATGAAACTTTACTAGGTGATGTGGAGGCTGTTGAAATCACTGTCAAAACTAAAAAGCAAAATGGCAACGAAGATGGTAAAGTTGTACTGATCGGTGTGCTGTGTTCTGTGGAAATAGCTGAAGAATGTGTTATTAAAAACAAACAATTCACTAATTTACCAGTGTTTTTAGTCAAAGGCAATGTTGCTGTCACTAGACATGTGATAAATTTCTTACAGGTATGTCATTCTTGTGTCAATGTTCAAGTCATGCATGATTCCTGGGACATCATTTAATCCCGAAGTACATAATAGTAGCCTTTAAGAGTGTGTGTGTATGTAATCCATATTTTTGATATGGTTTAGCTCACGTACTATACAATACATCTCAGAACCATTATATGAGTGCTTCTTTTCAATGTTATATTGTTTTCCAACAGTGAATTACGATTTTTGTTTGTTTTAAACATCAGTTATTCAACAACAACCTGTTATTTCATGTAGATTCAGTTTTCTCCATACTATGTACCTACCATCTGTACTGTGACTGAACACACTAGTGTGTACCAGTAGATTCAGTTTTGTCTGTAGTATGTACCCACCATCTGTACCGTGACTGAACACACTAGTGTGTACCAGTAGATTCAGTTTTGTCTGTAGTATGTACCCACCATCTGTACCGTGACTGAACACACTAGTGTGTACCAGTAGATTCAGTTTTGTCTGTAGTATGTACCCACCATCTGTACTATGACTACCGGTAAACACACTAGTGTGTACCAGTAGATTCAGTTTTATCTGATTGAATTATCATACCATTTATCCACCTCAGGCACAATTTGATTCCAATATTATCGCAATGCATTTCCCTCCAATGGAACTTGCCTGGATGATAGCCATGTGGACGGGATTTATCCCAGGTATGTATTGTATTCGTTATTTCATTCTGTGAGCCAAACTCATCTTTGATTTTTTTTTTTTAATAACCGTCCAATTGCTTTGATACTCAATATGCAGATATATTGGATTCTGTTTTGAGTTTATATTTCAGTGTAGAAATGGAACATGCACTTGTACAAAATGAAGCACATCAATGCTTACATATCCATTCATCATATGTTTAATACATGAAGAGAGAGGGAAACTGTGACATATTGTCAATGATTTGTTTAAAGGCCAATTCACTACGTTCAATTACCCACCATAGACTCTGGTCAGTCAAAATGACTATTTTGAACTGTAGGCATTAATCAGTGATTCTGCCAATGACGGAGAGATAGAATCTAGGTCAGGGAAAGCCCCATGACCCTAAGATTCTTTTCTCATACGTCACGAATCTAGTGACCGAGGCCATATGGCGGCGCCATTACGACTGGCGAATCACTCTTCTTTTTCTCCGCATCGAGCGGGGATGAAGTTTAGCGGCTCTGCCTGGATCGCTTGCTTTTTCCTGTCCGGGTTTCTAGCTTGGGTTATTGCCGCGGCATCCAACATTGTAGCTGGTAGGATAAGTTTTCCTTGTAATTTTTACCCTTGTGTCGTTTTTCCCTTTTTGTGTAGCATTTTTCACAACAAAGAAATAAAACCTGATCGTCGTAGCTTAATCACTCGTTGATTTTGTTGCGTCACCTTTTCCAACTGTAATTCGCTCATGCATGTCATCTTCATTTTATGCTTGATCTATGTATTTAGAAATGGATAGATGTAATGACAGCATCAGAAGCTCGCTGTTGCTTTTTTTGTCTCCTCGTTTTTCGAGACGACTGTGCAGTGGTTATATTCAGAGCCATCAAAATCGCTGAGACTGACTGCATTGCTTGTATTTTCACAGCCCCTCGGTGGGCAAGCAAGAAGCAACATGAAAGCATCGCTCGCAATGTAATTACCCCTACCCTTGATCCTAAGACGACCACTTAAGGTTGCTTCAACGCTTATGGGATCACGGACGTCGGGATCCAAAGCAACCCCATCTGCACGTCTCTCCCTGCCTGGCGGAGTGGGGCACAAGGTGCACAAACGGTGTTGATGTGCGGACGTTGGTCAGCCGCGGAGAAGGTAACGCTTAAGGCCCCCAGATGGGGTAAAAACTTATGCAACACTTTCCGCTGGACCAAACGCTACCCGGTCGGTGTGGTTTCGGGATCAGACCCTAAAGTGTGGGATGAGACCAAAACACCCCCAACCGGATCCCAAGGCTCTTTCCCCAGACTCCCGGTACCACGAATTTCTGTTTGGAAAACCGGGTAAAGGGGGACGGTCGCGTTCCATGGGCATTCTCGCCAGATCAATCCGAGATGATCCATCACACCCTGAGAGGACTCTGAGACCTCGGAGGCAGAACGCACCAGCCTCCTAGACCCAGGCGACACATTTACTTGTGGGCCACCACACATCTACATGAGACATCCCCTAGTGTCACCTGGCTCTCTTGGCCGGGGCCACTACTGTGCAACGAGACACTGTTTTAGATGCGTGTGTTTTCGCTGGCAAACTCAGACTGGACATCTTCCACCCTCTTTGTTCAGGGAATGGCGGGTGCAGTCTCGTAGCTTCAGAGTGCAATGAACCAGAGGGTTCAAATCGAATCCGCTAGCCAGTTGGCCCTGCCAGGGAAGGGTAGTGGCGTGCCCCCAGGGAGGAAGGGTCTAGGTGATGACTCCTCACCCTCCTCGGGCGGTCGTCCACCCCGGGGGAAGCATTTTGATGCTTACCTCTACGACCAGGGCGACAGACATGTGTTCGGTGAGTGACCAGGTCACAACTTAGTGACTACCGCAGGCCTTGGGGAAAACTCATCTCATGAGAGAAGAGAGCACTCGCAACTGCCGAACCCATGGCCACATATCCCTGTTGTACACAGATTGCGCCGGTGTAGTCCGGTTTGAAGGCAGCGGGTGACCAATCCCTGGACTTTGCAGGTGGTGACATACTGTTACAGGATACTGCTGAAATTTCCATCTCCCCCGTCAGTGTCTCCCTTATTGGGAACTGCCAGGGGACTCCCGCAAGGCAGAAGCAATCATACAGGAAGTAGCAGTTTGATGGAAAAGGGCTGCATGCAAAGGGTAGATCAGTCGGCATTAAGTCCAGGCTTCTACCCAAATGTGTTCGTAGTACCAAATCTACAGTTTTGGACCTAGGCAGACTACATCAGTACGTGCTCCTCGATCGGTTCTGCATGGAGACGCCATTCAGAGTTCTTCTCTCCATCCACCGTTTCGACTAGCGAGCCCCACTTGACTTGAGTGGGGCCTACCTGCACATACCGATGCACCCAGTTTGGCCAAGTATTCAAATTTCAGGTGCTTCCATTCGGGTTAGGCCCCGCGCCCTACATGTTCACCAGAGGGATGAAACAGGTAGTGCTGCTGCTTCACCAAATGTCGGTACACCTCAATCTGTACCTAGGCAACTGGTTACTACACAACCCATACAAGGGGTTATTAGCCAAACACAGTCAGGCTAACGCAGGATTTACTTCACCAGTTGGGCTCTTTAGTAAATCGACAAGTCCCATCCCGACCCAACGCAACAGTTGGTGTTCTTGGGCATGGAGTTTGACACAGAGGTAGACTTGGGATAGCTATTTCAAGCGCGTTGCTTAGCGCTGAGCAACCTAGCAGAACGCCTAGTCAGCGTTCCCTCTGTGTCCCTCCGAGAACTAATGCGGTTTATCAGAATGATGACCTCGGTTTGAAGGGTAGTTCCCCGGGCTGCGTTACGCAGCCAATCGGTCCAACGCTTGTTATTTGAACACCGAGCTCACCTACGAGAACTAGACAGGCGATCTCGGACCAAGTGAAGGAAGCCCTGCCCTGGTGGTCCTCACTGGCCAACCTCAGACAGGGGGTCCTTTGACCCACTCGTCACAACTATGCCTCTGGTAACAGACGCCTCCCTCCAACGGAGGGGAGCGCATCTATTGGACAAACAAGCCCAAGGAATATGGCTCCCGCATTGGGTTCGAGACCGCCATATCAACTGGCTTGAGCTGAAAGCAGTGCACCTAGCATTACTACACTTTCTACCTGAAGTTCAAGACCACAGAGTCCTGCTCCGCACAGACAACACAGTGGTGGTCTCCTCCATCAACAAGGAGGGGGGAACGTGTTCGCCATTGCTGTCAGTCCTAGCAGAGCAAATTCTCCTTTGGTGCCTGGAATACAATGTGGAGCTAACCGCACATCACCTTCCAGGGGTGAAGAACAACCTGGCAGATGCCCTTTCAAGGTGGCTCCGTCTCCAGAACTCGAAATGGCAGATACCCCAGTGGGTAGCCTCCAGGCTGTTTCGGCTGTGGGACGGTCCAAAGATAGACCTGTTTGTCGCACCCCAGAACGCCAAGCTCCCGACGTACGTAGCACTCCTGCTGACACCAGGGGCCTGGGCCATGAACACCTTATCGATCCCATAGACAAACATGGATGCGTACGCCTTTCCTCCCTTCCCGCTAATTCATCGGGTACTGGAGAAACTTTGACGGGAGCCCACTTGCATATTGACTCTGGTGGCACCCAATTGTCCAACCAAGGCCTGGTTTCCGCTTCTGCTGGAAATGCTAGTAGTGCTTCCGGACCTACCAAACTTGCTGAACCAGCCCGACGGCGCACTACCAACGAGCCCAGCAGTGTACCACTTACACGCATGGAGCCTCTCAGTAGACTCGCACAGACGAAAGTTCTATCTAAGCGGGCTGCCAACATCCTGGCCAGGGCGAACAGGGATGCCTACATCTCAAAGTGGCGAGCATACACCAGTTGGTGTAGTGGAAGGGAGATTGATCCATGCCATCCCTCTATCGGCCAGGTAGCAGACTTCTTTGTCCTCCTGTTTGACGAAGTAGGTTTGTCCTACGCAGTGATCGTTGGCTACAGGTCAGCCTTGTCCTCCGCCATAGAGAACACTTTGGGGTCAAGTCTAGCCGATTGTCCTATTATTAGGAGACTGTTTACTGCTTTCCATAATCAGAGCAGTGTTCTCCCCAGACTTCATGTCAAGCATCACGGTCAATTTGCATAACAATACATCTAATTTGCATAATTATATTTGCATAATACTAGTAATCAGTTTTTCCCAACCAATTTGGTCAATCTACTAATACAATTAATTAATACAATTAAGACAAGATATTTTTATATTTGATAAATTTTATATCATTTTACTGCATTGTATTTTATGTTTTTGTATCAAGTCAAATAAAGTTTGAAATAGAACAGCATAAAAAGGAAAACAAATTGAAAAACTTGTGTTATAGCTAGTCAGTGAATATAATGTTATCCATGGATGTAACTGGTTCATCATTGTGTACAAGTTTTAGTGCCCATGTCACTGTCAGTTCATATAACGTCGGGGGAAAACATCTTTTGGTTAAATTTATAAAGTCGGCAAGATATCGAAATATGTTGAAATAAATCAATAATTAGAAAAAAATTCTACAATGGCAGTTC